TTTTACTATTTATATAAAAAAAAACTTGTAACTAATATTACTTCTGATAACTTATGTAACGGAATAGATTTATACATAGCCGGTTATGTAGCACACTTCCGGTGCGATCACGGATAATATTAAATCTCATTCTAAAATAGCTAAAAAAATTAAAGTCAAAATAGTTAGAGACATTTCAAATTTGATTAAAAACAAAGAAAATATATTTATTGTACTCACATGTTTATCGATTGTTGTCTAGAACCAAACGAATTTGATAATACTACAAAATAAATGTTTATAAAAATAGGCAAAATAAAAGACCTTTGAATATCGAGAGTTTAATGACTTTATAAAGGTCGTTTGAAAGCCAATGTTTTCCTTAAATTATCACCTTGTTTACTCATATTTTTCCATAATGTATTTTTTTATATATATGTAAATGGTATCAATTTTTTAAGCTATTACTGATAGTAAAAAAGACATAAGTCTGGTGATATCCATAACATGTTTTTAGATGGATAGATGGATGTTAAAAAGAATCTTGGGAATGGCTGCATTGATCTTGCTGAAATTTGGCATAGATGTAAAAGATAGTCTGGAAGAACACATAATCTACTTATTAAGGTTTTTTTTTCCGCGCGGACGGAGTCGAAGGTGACGGCCAGTGTTTTTATATGTAGTTTTCTGTGGCACTATTTGAGTATTTCAAATCTCAATAATTCATTATTCAAAGCTTAATGTTCTTAGTTGGTTTTAACTATAAATAGTATCGACTCGCCTCGTCGGCAAATTCCTTTGAGACGAGACAGACCGGTCGACATTGTATGTGGCCGTACCCTTGACAGTACGCCTTTCTCTAGTTATTGATAACTGAAACTGTTCATTACCGAACGGACAGTATAGATATGATACGACGAAATTAAATAGAATCATTAAAAACAACTCGTTAAAATTAAATCGACTTCCGTTTCAAGCAAGTTATTCTTATGTATATGAGACGTTGAGTGTAAATAATACTCAATTATAGCACATACAAATAATAACAAGAATTGAAAAATTTTCATTTCTGATGTACTTCAAAAAAGATATTATTATAAAAATATGTTCATTGACTAAGTTTAAGCATACTTTTTAGTGGCATAACTCAAATTGTCGGCTCAAAAACGTTCTCGACTTCCGCTTTACACCTTTATCTATTTTTTATAATTCAGGTATAATTTGATTATTTTACTCATAGCCTTATTTCCTTACTTATACTCAAAATGATCTAAAGAGATGGTAAGAGACTACAATTTACATGTTTTTTTTTCATTATGCTGCAAATGAAATGATATACAATAGCACAGGTTACGTGTATCTGTGCCATAGCATCAGAGCTGAAGCGACGCAATCGAGCAAAGGTATCGTATTGCATTGCCTTATGAAATGGTTACGAGCACGCGTTGCCAATGCTAACTGGCCGACATTTTTCTCTTTACCTCTATGTAGGTTTTATTTGCAAAAAAACAGTTATTTTGATTATGAAATGTAATGAAAAAAATCAGTATTAAAATATTACTTGATTTAGTTTTTTATGTTAACTTTTCGATATTTTTTTTCAATCTTACTAATATTATAAATGCGAATGTTTAGATGGATAGATGTATGTTCGAAGGTCTAGAACAGCTGATCGGATATCTATGAAATTTGGCATACATATTGAACATAGTCTGGAAGAACACATATAGTCCTAATTATGTTTTTTTTTAATTTCGCGCGGACGAAGTCGCAGGCGACACCTAGTACCAGAGTAAAGTAAATTGGTAATTTAAAACTATAGAATTTAGAGAAGATGGTTTCCTTATAATAAAGATATTTAAATATATTTTACAAAATGAAAGACTCAGTTAAAACAAAAAAACTTCGTGAAACATTCGCCTGTTATGACTAACGTAACAAAAATAACGACCCAAATAAATGTGATGTAAATATTTACTATATCTAAATAAATTGCAGCGCTTAGAGAAAATAACAAGAAAGTTCCGTAATGTCGAACGATTTAGAACAAATATTCGCATGCAACACGATGCAATTCCGCTTTGGACACGGCCGTTGGATGTATTGTTAAGGACATTTATTTCCTACCCATTTCAGCGAAATTTCATTTGACGATCACAATGCAATAAAAATCAAAACCTAAAATTAAAGCGACATATTTCATGAATTATAACTCTTACTGTGACAATTTGAGTGTAGGATCGATTCTAAGTGGTAAGGAAATTAAATTCTTTGACTGTATATGTTGCGTTTAGACATATCTCTCTAATCTTTTACTTATGAAGGCTTTACTTTCGACTTGTACAATGGATTTGCTTAATGAAGTTCAAGTGAAAGTTGCTTAATACGAGTGAAGTGTAAGTGGCTGGTAATTAACAGAAGTAAAGTATCACTTAATGTTGCTGCTACTCTTCAAAGCATGAAATGCGTTGATAAAGACACAAATTTTGACCAACCTGTAGGTGCAATCTTTGAATATTTTTATAAATCAGCTTTCGCATTATATCTTTAGTTTTCTACATCTACGTTATTTTCAGTTTATGTTTTATTTAAATTATAATTCACATATTCATAATTTTATTAACTAAAGTAATCAGATGCCAAACTCATCGGAATTGAGCGAGTCTGCAACGCGTTGAAGTCTTTTATATGAAAATGTTGTATTCAGTTATATTAAGAGAAATCATTTTAATCGACTTAATTTTTTTCTAATAACCCTGCCTTTTTATAATTAACACTATTAGCCATTTTTATCATTTATCTTTTAATGGTTTTTACATATATATCTACAAACCTTACCGTAACTGAATCGAAGTAATTGTTTTTTTTTATTTTATTCAATATTACCTAAGTCACTATAAAACAATTATTGTAAGATATATAAAACATAGTGTAAGATTTGGTAAATGTAATTAATTCGGGTTATTTGAAACAACTTTCGTTTGAAAGCCGAGATTATCGAAATCGTGGTAAGACTTACAAACAAACTCGTCAGCAAACTCTTACTTTTACCAATCGCATTATTATTATAAACTTGTTTACAATACGTAACTATATATTTACGGGATCAACCAAATTACTTCTTTATATACTCTGTATGCATTGTCCAGAAGGAGATTTCCTAAAAGATAAGTCTATTACATACTAAATTTGAGATGTCTCAAATATAATTCTGTTTTTTTTAGAACTTCAGACGCGATTATTAAAAAAATAATACTTTTATAGCAAAATATTGAACCAGTTTAGTTTTATTGAATCACCATGTATAGTACGTGAGCTATTTGTACGAAGAGCCGGAATTCAGTGACGGGGAATGTGCGCAGGCGCAGGCTATAACCAAGGACGCGTGAGCCGAGAGCTACACTATGCATTACAATTTTAAATGGCAGCCTATGTTACTGGCAACATTATATACAATAAAATATGCTATTTATATACACATACAATTGATAATATTTTATTGGAATTATTATGACCTGTATTTCTTGCATTCTTGTTAATAATAAAGATAAATATATTTTATGATTAAAGAATTCGAATAAACTTTATAAGGAGCTTATGTACAACACTCTAACTTAGTTCTTTATTTAAATTCATCAAGTTTTGTTCAGCAGTATTGGTTTAATATGGTAAAGAACATCCATACATACTTATGCGTTTATCTTATATCTTTAAATGAGCAAATCTTGTATATATATAATTGGAATCTCGGAATCGGCTCCAACGATTTTCATAAAATTTAGTATATAGAGGGTTTCGGGGGCGATAAATCGATCTAGCTAGGAATCATTTTTAGAAAATGTCATTTTATTCGTGTTTTATGGATAATCAACTTAAACATGAACTTAACTTTTTCTATCGGTAAGATCGAAAAATATTATTCATATTTCATCATTTTATTAGTAATTCGTACTTAAATATAATTTCCAAAAAACACAATTTAAAAACAAATACCGATCAAAGCTCGGTTTTCCAGGTACTTATATTAATCAGATATTTATTAATCATGTAGCCTACGGTGTAAACCCTTGACAGTTAAGATGCGCGCTGGTTAACCTTCAGTTATCCTAGAGACCTATTAATAAATTATATTATAATCAAATGTTAATTTTATACTTCTAAAAATCAATCAACATGGCAACGCGGATGACAAGCCGCCAAGGTCGACAAATGTAAAGACGGTTTATCAAAATTAAAAATACAAAAAATTATTAATTAAATTGTTACATATTCAAGAACATTTAAATGTCAACATATTTGAATATATTTTGATGATATCACTAATAAAATTAAAGTTGATTTTAACCTATTTTATATAATTAATATTGAAACCTTAACATTTAACTTTGGTGTCTTTATATTTGATTACTCTTTTCCGGATCTCGTTTATAACATTATAACATTTTTAATAAATCAAAGCGGATCATAATAATCATCACTATAGAGGAAATAATATATGTTAAGTGATGAACACGTAGATGTACATATGAATGAAGAAATATCTAGAGATATATTAACCCCATCTACTGTTGATTTTGCACTCTTCAGACATTTGGTTAGAAAATTAAAGCATCATTTTTTATTTTTCATTTCTAGTAACGACTCTGATTGTGTTTTGTTTCCTTTATCGATACTAATTCAAAAAAGTATCGAATAAATCCAAACGACACTTTAAGGAATTGCCACTTATAAGAAACTAGCTTAAAACATATTCTGTAAGACTCTACCACCACCTTGCCGATCCAACTGCGTAACCAATATATCTCGCAACACAAACACGTTAACTAAAAAGGGAAATCTGCGCAATAATGATGAAGAGAATTTCTAAATTGATGGAATATTTTACATGATACAAGGCTTATGTGATAAAAAAATCGTTTAGGAAATATTATTACTTTCTAAAAAATAAACTTACATTTTACAATTAATAAAATTTTATATAAATTCCAAAATCTTCATTCTTAAAAAAACTAAAAACTTACCATATTTATATTTGGTAAACACTTTCTCCGATCAATAACTCCCATGATTTATTTTAAGTCAAACATTAAATTGATATAAAAAAAATAAAACAAAATTTGCGAAATGTCCTTTTTTCACAACGCAAAGTTTATATCACACATTTCACAACACGTGCCGTATTGAATGCAACTTTTGATACAGCGAATGCTGACACTGGTTGACACGCGCGCCTTTTAATTTTAAAAAGTTAATCGCGTTCGAAGTTCAAAAAGCGCTTTGGCGGGAAACGTCAATTCGCGCGGACTGCGCGCCACAAACTGGCAAGATGGCGGGCTTTTTTTGACGGTTCACACGAGTCGATTCACTTTCTACGACCTTACGTTGTATGCGACTTGTAATTAAGCATAAAGATTTACGTAACCTGTCGATGTAACCCATAAGTATTTGAGTTTCCGCAGATTGGACGTTTTAGTAACTTAATAGTTATCAAGGATATCTAAGATATTTCTTTCCGATCGCTTACTTAACATGGAAACTTAAAACCGGATTTTGTACACTAGGCACTAGTTTCTAACTTAAAACTAAGTTTATAGACACTTAATTCTCATAATTAAAAGACAACAAATTCCAAAACAAAGCAGTTGGTACCATTAATCCTTTATGAGTACATTTCAAACTTCTTTTCTTTTTATTAATCAAAACATCAACATGTAGCAACAGCAAACTTTCTTTTTGAAATTGTATTTAAGAAAAGTAATTTATAATAATCTTTCAAACAAGTCTGAGTGAGAGTAGGCTCGAGTAATCATCTTACCTCTGCTAACGTAATGTAATAACACACTCGTAACCATCCACCATTTGAAGTAATATTTAAATAATGTGTCTCTAATCTACTTTCTTACTTTGCTTTGTGTAGATTCGTATAGTGTAAATATTTAAATCAATAGAACAATTTTATGACCTAATCATCATCTCATGCAGTTATAAAAAAAAAGTTATAGAAACTTGGTAAAGTTAAACCAAATAGTTTCAAATTACTTTTATATTTTATTTTTGCGTCGTCTACAGTCAACACCTACACAGAGCTAAGGAACTCCTTTATCTAGCTATCCATATCGAAAACTCGTTTACTGAGTTTCTAGAACTCTTCTTGTTGGTTTGACTTCACAGTAAGAAATAGACTGCGAGCAATTCGTGCAACAATTAATGCTACAGTGGACTCTACATAACTCATTATACTTCACCCGTAACCCAGAGGGTTAGGCAGAGACCACGGACTACCAATTGCCGCGAACCTAATCTAAGACATTGATTCCTTTTTGTTTCCATTATTTCATCCTCAGTTATTTTTTTAAGGAAGAAACATTGGCATTAATTTATGACCATGATTTATATAATATTCCATAGCAAAGATGTTTCAGTAAAAACTAAAATATACATACATAAAAGGTACAAAGATTCGACATACGCAAGGCACCGCCCTTCTCGCTGAAACTAGCCTTCGGCATGCTCTAGATTACTAGATCATAGGTGACTGGTATGGACTTGCAAAAAACTTTAGCAAAGAATGTAGCGACACGACTGCCGCGCCTAAACGCGTTTAAAGTTTTAAGTTAGCGACTATTGCGGCATGGCATATATTACACGAATAAGTTAAATACTTAATTACGCAATTAGTGTGGAAGTTAATAGATAAAAATACATAACGTTGTTGCTTAGAGCTAGTTAGGTATCTTTATTAATGAACAATCTTATGTCTCAAATTTTTTAAATTACCCAATAATGAGACTTTAAAACATTTTTAGTTCGAAAGCGATAGTATGTTCAAAAATGTCTTTCGATTTTCAAATTGTTTATTTTTTTGCATCTTATGTTTCTAAATTTTTAAGCATAGGTACGTATTTCTGAGGATTTAGGCAGGAGTTAAGAGATTAATATATAAATTAGTATGTAAGGTTGTTTTTACAAAATAGGACAAAGACGATTCGTTATCGACGTCCCACTTAAAAGTAGTGCCCCTTAATCGCACGACCGACCCACGCGCTGCTTCCTCTGTCACTGAGCTAAATTATCTACAATTAATTCTAATTATAGAAGAGATAAAACTTATTAAATCAAATCTTATTAAAAACTTTGAGATTAGTAATGTAAATAAACGTATAAATTAACTTATTAAATAAGTATGCGTATGCCTTTAACTATGTTGAGAGAAAAGCATGCATAGAAATTAAAGTATAAAGTTATTCATACAGATATTTAAAATTAAACACATTTATGCAACCGTTCACCTCTCACCACTAAATATCATCACTTCACTTGACCTTGGTGAAGTTTCGAACATCAAATGTGCACGTACAGATTTAAAACGATGCTCGAATCTACAAAGGTCGTGTGAATCATCATATCTATCGAAATAAAATGTGTACAACCATTTTTATTTTAATAGCATAGCTAGATCGAAGTAAAAAGTAGTTAAGTTAAACAAGTAATAAAATCTCAATTTCGATAAGAAAAAGCCAAGTTAAACGAAAACTTTCCTCGTGCATTACTATTCATTGCACAAAGATCTTTGTAAAAAGCATACGTAGATGACTACAAGTTCACAATCATCGAAATATTATTACAAACTAAAACACGCTTTATAACGAGTATAGATAAATACGAAATTCGCTTGAACATTTCAAGTATTCATCATATACTACATATGTAGCTCTTAAGTCTTTTCTATCTTGTATCGTGAGATGTATAACGATGTGACATAAATAGTGCAAGTGTCGATGAACTTGCATACAATTATACTGTGTCTAGTAGCAATTACTATTTTAGAAGGATTTTTTTATTTTAAATAAGTTAAGCTATCGCTTAACATAGACCACCTTGAAGGATCTTGCAACCTTGACATGAAACCGTCTACTTTGGTCAATTTAGTGCCCAGTGTTATCTTCGGTATTTCATAAAAAAAACCTTACACGACCTTAATATTTCATTATTTTATATATAACATTTATATAATTTTTTCTATTCCAAAATTCTACTCTCTCCTAGTAATTATATATCCTATTTCCATCAATAAAACAATGACAAATTAACTTAAAAATCATTCTTAGAAAAGTTTAAATATTCTACCTCGTATAAGTTAAAATTCCACACACACTTCTTCATCTATCGGTGTATCAAAGAACGTTCCGTTCTACGCAGAACGGAACCGGACGTCCGTCATGATATACTATCGATCGATGCAAATTACAATTGAAATTGAATAAGCCAAATAAGTCTTTATCATGTTAAATAAGTTTTAGGTAATAGAAATTACCATTGCACTTTTACGTTATAAAAATACTTATATAAAAATATTATACTATCCACACTTGATAATATCAACTAACCGAATTTGTGCGAATTCGACTTATTCAAGTTAACGCCATCTATCGACATCAAGCTAAAAATAACAAGTCATAGACAAATTTGGTATTGCTATCTACTAATTTGAATTTTTGGTAGAACTAATAAATCCACTTGGCAACATTAAATTGGACAGTCAAATCAAAAGATACGTGACGGCAGCAGTGTTTCTTGAATGTGTGTCGCAATTTTTTCTAAATACGATGAATATCAGCGAGTATTGTGCCTGATTTATATTTATAAGTAATTACTTGCACATATTCAAGTAAAATGTTGTGAAATATATTAAAATCTACTAAAAGAAACCTAAATAAATTCGACAAAATGGCCAAGTAAGTAACACTAACGTATTGTCCATTCTGAAATTGATTCTCATTAAATAATTATGCTTTTGAAATATTATTTATATAGACTGCTTTACATGTACTAAATATCAGAACTATATTAAGAACATTTTAAGCACTAGGCGCCATTTCAGTTTGAATGTTAATTAATTTTTTCGCGATTAGCACGCCCAGAGCATTATTCTTAAGTTTATATATTTAATCATTATCGTTGTTAATTTATTGTTGAACAAAAAGTTACAAATAGTTATTTATTTACACGATTATTGCATATATAAATATGTTTTTTTCCTAAAATGTCTATCTTTAAATAACTAAAGAATATTAGGATGTCTCAACTATTTTTTTAAACTATTTATAATAATTTTTATGAATAATTTAAGATTTATAAAAAGTTTCAGCATGTGTAATATTTCTAGTATGAGAGAACAGTATAATAGTACCTGAATGTGCAGTATAAATAAATAATGTTTTCGAAACTTTTGTACCAATCATTTAAACCTTTGTATATTTCCTGTAGGGAAATGATGATAGTTTTCGTGTATGACACACAATGCTGTGTGTCAGAGGAGGATGACCCCGCAGAAGCTGTGCTGTACTTCCATCCTGGCTGGGTATCTGACACACAGAGACATGCATTAGCTGGACAGGTATTCCACAATTTTCTTACTACGCTGTCATGGGTCACTGTGAAGTAATCACATACTTACTAAAACTACGCTAAGGAGACCACTAAATAACTTTGGGAGTGACAGTTTATGTTGAATGCTAGTTTTATAGTTAAATGAGACCTTCCTTTATTGATATATTTTTATAAACCTGGATTAAAGGTTTTTAATAATGTAGTTTTTTTTTTAGAAATTAACATCAAAATTGTTGAACTGATATACATAAAGCACTATCTTAGCTTTGAAAACAGATAATTTATTCAATATAAAAGCTGTTATCTTATCATATTAATGCATAAAAACACTAAATCACAGTAATTTACATGTCAATTTATATTTAAGCAACATTTGTGGTATGCAAACCGGTTTTTAGCCATTTCAGATTTGGCAAATGTAGTTTGGGAATTACATAAAAATTTATGTTAAATTATTAAACAAATTTCATAGAATTTATGATGTAGGTGGTGGGTGCAGCGCATTGTGTTAAAAGTCTCTTCTCCCAGCCTGTGTCTATAACATTACAAAGTGGGAAGTTTATCCTTAGAGAGTACGGAAGATATGTTCTGGTGAGTAACTTATGTATTAAATGTACATTACCAAACACACATAAACACCAATACATATTGTTCTATCCATTTATGTAAATATATTATTGTATATTATATAAACTAGCTATTGTCCATGACTCCATGTATGCATTCTTCCAGACTATAGTTCTACATGTATCCAAATTTTATCTAAATCTGTTGAGCCGTTCCAGAGATACCTACAAAAAAACATCCATCCTTAGAAACTTTCGCATTTATAATATTAGTACGATTAGCATTAGCGTAATAATTCCATTAGTGTCAAGGTTCTTATCAAATTGCCAACAAACACACACCTATGGACAAGTTATCGGAGATTTTAATATTTACATGCTGTGCAAAAACTTCGATGCTTTTTTTACATGTGGTTATTCTGTCAGAAATTAGAAAAATATTTTAAAGGTACGCGTCCATTGTCCCGCACCGGATGCACGGACACCTACAACGGATTGCTTTTTAATAAATGCCGTTTCGATGTTTTGGTACTAAACTAAACTAAAATCCGTTGCCGGCCGTTCTTGTGTCCGGCGCGGGCCAATAGACGCGTACCTTTAAAGGTATTAATTGTAATAAAACATATTCAAGAAGTAGTACTAAATATTATTTAATATAAAAAAATGATAATACGTAATTCAGTACTTATCCACTACGTAACATTGGAACATTTACTGCCCACGCTACGTTATTCTATTAAGGCTGGAATGTTAAATACTTAAGTAGTTTGGATCCCGAACTCGTAAATACTAGAATGTATCGTGCAAATATTTTGTGCTATTGAATATACATTTTATTTACCAGAGTGAATCTTGAATGCTTGTACTACCGAACCTTTCATGTTATTAGAGAATTGCTTCGGCTTCGCACGTATACCATGGGTTTCTGAGGTCAATTTTAGTTTAAAATATTTGTTTATCTTTGTTTTGTCAAAGATAATGACAAAGATGACGATTTATATAGAGATTTTAGTCTCAGAAACATACGGTTAGATATTTCTTTCAGTTATATTATCGTTTCAGAATTTTGGTGTCTTTGACAATAATTGATTTATTTCTATTAATCTACATAAGTTCTTACATACACCATATTTTTATTCTTTGTCTATTTACGAAATTATATAGGATATCATTAGATTATTGTATTTGTTGCATTAATACACATGTGAAAGGACTTGTTGTTTAAAGTAGTGGTCCAAAGAAAATGTTTGTTTTTACGGAAAGCAAAAAACAGATTGAATCCGTACCAAAATGCTCTATTTTAATTATGGTATGTTAGTAACCGGATTTCAATCACCGGTACCAATTTATAGAGTTGATTTCAATTTTAAATTTAAATTCGCGTCAGTTCACCCTTGCTAATATTGCGCTCGATCACAAACTGAATGTTTCATATCTTCATTTAAAACGAACAAAGAAAGCAACTCTTACTATTGTCGACAATTTTGTTAGTCCCTTTTTCGTAAAATCGCAAACAATGATAATTGGCCTACGAACAAGAGAAGCATCATTAAGAGAGACGCAGCATTGTCTCGGCGCACGCTAATGGTAGCAAATTATTTAATTTGAGACCAATTACGGAAAGACTAGCTAACGTAAATTAGTTCCTATTGTAATAAAATCTCTTAGACTTTAATAAGTTTTTTCGTACTTCAATGTTTTGTACTTTGTTCTAATATTGCTTATCCCTACAGGTCTGTAATCTCAAATAAGGGGAAACTTTCACTATCCTTTTGTAAATAATTGATAAAAAAAATCAATTACCTTAACTTCTAGGCTATAGGTAGTGATCGCAATATCCCAGACTGGGTATTAAAAAATCGTGCCAGTCTGCTTACGTCCATGATCAAAGTGTACCATGGCGATATGCATACGATCGCGGAACAGATGGAGGATCCCAAAAGATTGGCGGAGAAACTCTACCAAATTTTTGAAACGTACCTACCAGTGTTGCAGTACGGATGTCATATCTTCCAACGTGTGCCGATGCTCAGTCTGCCCAAGGTAAGTTTGTTATCACCATTCGTGATATATTAACATAATAGCTGTCGCCCTCGACTCGAACAAAAAAAACTTTATTAGTAGCTTATGTGTTCTTCCAGGCTATGTTCCACATCTATTGCAAATTTCAGAGAGATCCATGCAGCAGTTCTATAGACAAATTCAAACAAACATCCATCCATCCATCCAAACAATAGCATTTATTAGTTAGATACTAAAAGAACGAGATGGATATACGTATGTTTGAATGTATGAACTTTTAATATTTAGAATTGTAAAATGAAAAAGTGAAACAACTCGTATCAAATAAATTCCTTTATATTATATATTTAATTACAAAGCTCGTTTGTTGCTTCAGTTCGTCCGTTTTAAAAAGCAAAGAACTGGAATAATTTGTCTGAACTAATGGTGCCATTCAAATAGAAGCCTGATTGTCCATGCGAGAAAAAAAGAATTAGCATTTGCTTCGTTTGTTCTTTATCAAGAAATGCACGGAAAATCTTTTTTCTATTTGAAAAGTCGTACTCGTATAGTAATTTAATATTTAAATGTTTGTGTACTTTTTTAAATTATTTTTGTGTTCGACGTAGTTTTAAACGGTCATTTCATATTTGGAAAAAGGTTTACTATCTCTATGTGAGTCTAGATTTATTAAACTCGAGATAAAACGTAAGTGTATAGTAACTGAGAAGTTATTATCAAATAAAACTGTTTTAACGACAACGGTAGCCATATGCACGATAACCGCAATGTAAACAAACACTTCTCACATTCATCATTCGCATTGATAACAACAATGTTAAACGCACCTTTATGTATTTAACTGGGATAGTCATAACAAATTGAATCTAATCTTACATTTTTATTAGTGTTTAGAGGAAGGGTAATATAATTTTGTATTATACAAATATCGTCTGTGAAAATCCACGGTTAAAAAGCGATCTTTTCCTGTTACGTTCACTGGATCTCTTAATAATTTGATTGATCAAACCTCTATAGGTTATTTAGTAGTTGATTACAAAATGTATCAAATTCAATCGTGTTTAGGGTAGAATATAATTAATAAATTGTTTTCAGAGCGCTAGTTCCGTGTACATGGAATCAATGCAAGTCCTGGAACACTGCAGCAAAAGTGTCGGCGTACTGGGTGGAGTCGTGCTCTACAATAATAAGTAATATTACTTTTATAATGGTAACATAAATTGCGGCTATGAATGCATCAGATTTAAAAATTATAATGAACATTGGGTTTTGTTTAGAATCATCGCCACACAACTGCCGCCGAGTCTTACTTCCTACTTGACGGTAGTGGACCCATATCGAATAAAATCTCCCGCGGAGACTGTACAGACTGAGACGCCTTTGCCCCTCGGCGCGCAACTGCTCGTCGTCTACGTCGCCAGGAAGACGTACGACACGCTGAAGAAACAAGCCGACAAGATGCAAGACTTCTATCAAAATGGCGAAGAAATGATTGCCAAGTTTAAAAAGGTGCAATATTGAGAATACTTGCTAAGAGACACTCTTTTGTTATTACTTTTAGAAAAACGTATTTTAAACTTTACATTTTATTATTGACTCTTTCCCAGATGCAAGAAGCAGAACGAGAAAAACAAAGAGAATTTCCACAGGGAGGTATGAAAAGAGATAAATCCCTTCTTTTCACAGCCGTCCCCGAAGAAGACCACACAATGATATCGCCGCCTAGCAAAGAAAATACATCAGAAAACAGAAAGCCCAGCATGCCTGATGTAGTGCCTTTCACCAACAAACCACGGCCTAGGCCCAACAAACTGTCTCTCAGCTTCAAAACGCAGAAGTCCCTCGATGAAGACGCGATGGAAAACGAAACAAAGTTTACGGGACAAACTAGCGTATGTTCTACTCCGATGGTCGAATACAAGAGACTTCACGGCAACATGCTATCAATATGTCAAAATCCTGACAATCAATCGATGGAAAAATCCCCGGACGTGGAACCGGACGTTTTAAAGAACATAGAGAATAGTGCCAAATTAAAAATTGAAAGCGAGCAGAGGGACAATAAGATGGTTCTAGATATCAATTGCATAGCAGATCATTTTATAAATAAACCGGAACCGATAAGAAAACTGGCTAGTGTTATGGATATTCAGGAAACATTTAGGAAGATTTCCAACAGAGCTACGTCCAAGTTTAAGTTAAAGCGATCTCAGAACGAAGACGATTCGCCCGCAGAGGAGGCGAGGAGTCCCAGCACTCTCACCATAAACGATCCCTTGTTCCCGGTATTCCGGAATGATGGTGTTGCCATATCGGAATCGCTTTTCAACCAATATCTCGAGCAGTATTATTCTAGAATGAAGCAGGAATCTAAAGAGGAGAACATGTTCAATTTTAATATTAAATTAGGGGAACAGGAGAAGTTTGAAGACTTCGATTCTGATATGACTAAATCACCTCAGCGAACTCCTAAGAAAGTAGTCAAAGACTCCAACAAGACGGTACCGAGTGACCAGTCTAGACGAAAAGCTTTATCTCTCCCTCTTAAATCTTTAACGGAGAGTACAGAAACAGTGATCGACTCGGAGGCGGCAAGTTTTAAAAAGAAATTAACTGGGGTCCAATTAACTCCTCTTATGGAAAAGCTGAGTCACTTAGCGTTCACATCAGACAAGTCCAGCGGGTACAGCAGCAGGGTGATGACTCCCTTAGAAATGAGAGAATTTCCAACTCCAGCTGCGGAACGTCAACTCAACTTTTCTGATAGGTAAGATAATAATAAGGCAAAGCTGATTGCAATACAGTAACTTGTTTTGCTAAAAAAAAATATTTGTACGTCAAATGTTTTAGAAGTAAAAGTCAGCGTGAAGAGTCAGAGGGTGACGGGGAGGGCGAGGAGGACGATGATCTGGACGCGCTGCCGGAGTTCGGGCGTGCAGCGGCCAAGTGCGCGCTGTTCGTGAGTGGGCTTCACAATATGGCGCTGCTCGCGCTGATAGACCTCGAAGCCGTTGATAATGTTGACACTATTAATACTTTGGTCAGTACTTTGTGTTGCAAGAAGGACGTTGTATTTTAATGTCGTTGTCATATTTTAACAATATTTTGTTCGCAGTGGGAAACATCTCTAAACGCGTTGGGCCCTATAGAGCAGAAGTGCATGGAGCCACTACCTGCAGAGGCGGAGAGCAGTGACTACAGCTACCTGATGCTGGACCCTGACTGGGGCTCGGTCCGCAAGGGCGGGCCCTGGGCGGCCATGGACATCGCCACTATGGGACTCATACACAACGAATTCGCAGAGGACCCGGAAATCTCAGAGTACATACTGAGGTATGCTTCATATTTTCAGAGATGTAGACAGTGCAGCATTGTTATTGTATGAATGTACACAATAGCAATACTGTTATGTTCTATTGTCCAACTGCCATTCGCAGTTCGTAATGTGGAATCGAAGAACAGTGTTACTTTTTTTGTTACTTTACCAACCACAACTGACAGGAGCGAAGAGAGCGTGGTGGTTGGGGCTAGTTGCGGTGGCGGGCAGCTGTTCTACCAGGAGTCGGGTGCGCGGCCGCCGGGCCCGCCGCCGCCCTCCGACGCCTTCGCCGCCGCTCCGTTGCGCGCTCGCCGCCGTCTGCACCGCGACCACTGCGCACTCCTCATATAGACCAAGTGGACTCTTAGTCACTGAGGAACGCCCTTAGTGTAGATTTCTGATACTTAATCTAGTCTATACTAAGGGGACCACTTAAGGACTAAATGGCTGCTGAAGTGCCGTTTTAAGTGTGAAGGTGGTTTCCACTCTTAAATTGCCATAGTATGCCTGATGTCACCAAGAAGTGCATTTTTTGTCGTAATGTTTAACTATAGTTTGGTACACAACCTGCATTAGGAAGAAATCAATCTGATTTTGGTACAATTCTTGATAATTATCATATTTTAATGTATAATGGTCACTAACATACTAAATTTATACAGAAGACATTTACGAAATGCTGCCATGGCAACGAATTTTTTTATATTTTAACTTACCTTATCTGTTTGCCTCCTTATTGGGATAAGCAAAACAGAAGGACGCTATGGATATCTACATTTATTACAAACTTGATGACATCTGATCGGCTCTCAGTGTAGTTCAAGTTTTTTAATTTATTTTTTAAGTTAACTTTGTTTTATGTCTGACTTTCTAGGAATACGAGAAAGACTGATTTCAAAATGTATTCAAGCACACTGCGCATATTGGAAAATTTTATTTGCGCATGTAATTAGTATTATGAAAAAAATTCTGTACCATTCCAATGCCGCCCCTCCATGCAAAGGTTCCGTCAAAAATACCGAAAACTCGTATATGCCAGAAACTAGATGCCTTTAAATTATTATTCTCAATACTCTTTAGTAGTTCTTAGATTCGTTAAGACGGCAGTTTTCTTAGGTCCCCCTAAGGGCGTATTTTTTGTAATTTTCAATCTACTTATTATTATCTGTAGTCAACTTCATAGAATTTAGAATAACATTAGACTTAGCGTAAAAACTTAGGTTCTGTATTATGTAGAACCGATTTAGATAATGGGTAAACATTTTGTCTAGGAAGGGCGCATACGATGCGTTTTCACCCAATATTTCCTCTGTATTATCTTAGTAATTTTAGTTTTTCGTAATTTAAAACGTATTTACTCAACTTTCACATGTAGCCATAGACCAATTTATTAGAGTTTTAGAATTATAGTTCGATATATGAATCTTAGTACAAGAGTTATCCTTTCCATATATTTCCTGCCTCACAATTCTTGCGTACATTGTTCGTGAAACAAAAGCATTAGTTTGTTGTAATTTAACAGGTTAAACACATATCTTCATAATTGTCCCTAAAATAATTATTCATATATCAGGTTAATAACTCGGATTTCATACAGACGGAAGATCGTTGAGATGTTTTTTATAACTTTTGCTCCTTTCACACAGCCTCATTATTACTTATTATGTTTGAGATTATTCATATGATCGTTTTCGTAAGTCAATGTGCAGTTCACGTCAGATAAACAGCAGTCGTTATCTAATCAAACTTGCAGCACTAGCCTTCGTAGTCTTTCAACTATGGCCTTTGCCTGTCCGTTACAAAATGTTAATTGTTCTTGATGCTTAAGAGTAGAAAGGCAAATATTCCCATAATCTGTATATCAATCATAGCTGTAGACTTTTCTAACCCAAAACTTAGTTTAACAACAAAACGCCAATCTAAATGTTTCAGCAGCGGAAACTCGTTTATTGCATGCGGTTATAATTCATCGAAAATATTTGGTCATTTAAAGTAATAAGCAATGTGAGGAAAAGTTGGTTACCGCAAGTATTTTCGGACTAACATTCATTTATTATAAAATGTGGCTGTTTACAAAGTTTCGGGTTAGGATAGTGGAACGTAAAGGAGGGTACTTGTAAAATTCAGATCTGACGCTCACTGACCTTGCCATTAGCTCGTAAGTACTTTGGCCACACCGTAGGTAGATATCGCTAGTCTGCTCAATCTTGCCATCCGACTATTTAGCGTAGGAAACAAAGTTTTATAATTAATTTAATGTAAAACAATATGTTTTAAGCTAAAACTACCTTCCAATCGCCATATAACTACTAAGGACAGCGAGTAATTTAATAAAAATCATTTAACGCTCACTTACCTTATTTAAGCTTTCACTAATAGTCTTCAATTGATTGCATTAACAAGTAAAAAAGCCTGCTGCTTCTATTATTCATGTTTTGATAGTTTTATTCTTACATGCAAATTAATTGTTCACATAAAATTCCAATAGCTAAAATATTTTAGCTGTTGATGTTACAGTAAGCTTCGCATATCGTGAAAAACATTAAAATACCTCATAAAAACAAAGAGTTTTTAGTCTAATATTATATTGTTTTCAATGTATGTAATACAAGCTATCTGTTATGTTCAAAATCAGAAATAATCTCTAGACAGTATACAATAACTATACTATGAAAGGCTTCGAAAAAGTACGGAGCCAGTGGTTTTTAGAGACGCGTTCATTCTACTTACATTTAGAGCAGAGACATTATCTTATTTTTCAATTCGTCTCTACTTGATATGAAGACATTTCATGAGCCATCATATAAAATAGTTGGACAATTATATAAAGTATTTAAACGGTTTATTTGTTATAAGTTTGTGATAGTATGCATAACAAATGATAAATCACATGATACGACTTGTAAGTTATGTGTGTACAATGTTATTTTTTTATATTTGTATTTAATTTTATGTTGTTATTTCAGTATTATGTTGCATTTCGATACAATACTGAAAATGTTACATTCCATTTTTTTTATTACGATGTTGAACGAATGTACAAAATTAACTAATCTATTCAAACGCGTCCAAATCAATATGCAATTTATAAATATGGATTTTATACTCCGTCTTGCCTATATTATTTTGTTACCTATTATTGTTTTATTATGACCCTTAAAATAGTTATGTACTATGTTAGTAAATAGGACACGATAATGTGGAATCTATTTTTAATTATACATAAGTATTGTTAATAATTTTAATAAAAACCCTATAGTGGACTGCATTTTTTATACCCAGAAATACACGAAAGAAAACAGAATGAAATATATTACATGTTAACTACTCTAATGACTATAGGGGTCTATTTTATAATGTCCAAGTAAATCCTGAATAAGCTACTTTATATATTTATTAATCAAATAAAGTCGTCATTGGCAATTCCCAGTCCCCAAATAAGGTGCGAAACGCAAATTTGACTAGATCTTTTTGTCAGTTAATTTTTTTGTTACATATCCAGCACTTAACTTGGACATTGTAAAACAGGCTCAAAATAATATTACATAAACTAGTATATTTCTAAAGACTATTAATTGTCCCATTTTGACGACTAATCTTAAGCACGTTACCTATGTCATATAAATGTGGATTTTTAACTAATATATAATAGAAATATATAGATTCTATGTAATAGTTTATATATAGATCTGTTCCAGCAAAAAGATTTTAATAAGACGGCCACGTTAATTGCCAATACCCAAGTTTAAGGCGAATGGGATAGAGACAGGATATATTATGGATGAGAATGGGAAGAGTACGAATGAAGAAAGATCGAAACGACGTTACAAAACTATCATTTATTCAACAAGTCGCTCACAACACAAGTCTACACTAAAATTACTTCACCAAATCTATAATTATATATGATATATATATTATATTAATATGCAGTAAATACATACTATGTGATAAATAAAATGCATATGGATCACCGATAGAGAGATAGTATTCGCGGGGTTAGGTTCGCGGTAGTGGGTATAGATTTAGAATATCGCCAGCGAGCGCGCGACTTCTCTCTTGAGTCTTGAGCGAGCTTCGGCTTCCCTACGGCCGCGCGGCGGACAAGCCGTTCGCAAAGACGTTAGGAGACAAGTTCGCTAACGCTTCGCGCCGCCGACTGTTCTCGGCGCCCATCGGCCGTCCCGGGAATTTCGGCTACGGCCATTTCAACAACGACTTTCTCAAGAAAAATTTTCGAACAACTTCGACACAGTTACGTTTTTTCAAGGAACTTCATCCTTTACTTCTTGTTTCAATACCTTTTCAAAACAAACAAAATCAATATTAGACTTAGTGTATGAACTTTATTAGAAGCTAACTTTACATTCTAGAGGCGAACGCGCCCGTACTAGGCGCGGCGCACTAACTTATGCTACGACCCTTTTCTTGCGACGTCTAACGTTACGAACTAAACAAAGTGAATAGTGACTGGGCGACGCGACGCGACGCAGCGCGGCGACGGTAACACTTAAAACTATTACAGAGTCATTCCATTTCATTATCCGTCCTAAGTCCGGCCCCGACGGGTACAGTATAAATGCATTACGGAGGCCGGTCACACATTTTGGGGTGTGTTGTATCAAAATCTGTGTCGCCCTCAGCGTCACCGACTTACTAATATCGACCTGCAAAGTCAAAGAGGAGCGTGACACACCGGCCACTGTTGCGGCAATTCTATCGATTTATCAAATCAAAAGTCACATTTTACTGCGCTAAATTCTGCTGCTTTTGATTGAAGATGAATCGATAGAAACAAAACAAACAATATAACACACACATTACAAGTAATACAATTCAGATACTTAAAATTTAAGTTTAGTTAAGTTATAACTTTAAATACAAGAAAAACTTTAATGATATCTTTGGCATGCTCTCTTATTGCAGAGTGACCACATGCAGTTCTAAACACAGTTAATATTTACTTATAAACAACTCATATTAATTCTCATGGTCATACTGTGCCATCATTTCAATACTTTTTAGCTCTCCTATAGGAGTAATAAGACCAATATGGTCACTGTTCAAAATTGTACAAATATAACTAACATTAGGATAGTCTAAACAGATTAATATTGCTTATAAATTTACATTGATGTTTCCCACACCCAAATCACAACCTTAAAACATATGGATATCTTAAATTACAATAATGGCAAGTGGTTTAAGCTCCTTAGATATGAAATGTGAAGTTATATGATACATAATTATTATGGTAAATTTATTATACCACTAATTATGATAAAGTTTCATTATATTTTTTATGATCTTTCTCAAAATTTATATAAAAAATTGAAGACAATAAACTAAGGAGCGAAAGCAATCGACATTATAGTCATCAATAAAGTAAAGGACACATCAAATGAACTGTGTCTACATCATAAATATGGGACAAAATGTCCTGACAATACAAAACAGCAAATTATTTGGTATAATGTTTACAATAACTTCACTAATTAACTCTCACTAAACATTTACTTGGACAAATTTATTAAAACTTATGGTTTATTATTAAACATTTCTTATTTGAAATTACAGTTGTGTTTGGGAAGTAGATAGCGTTTATCATATTTATAAGAAAATATCATAGAAATGTGTTTTTTTTATTTATTTCACTTCTATATATTTGTCAATACTACTTGTCACAACATAACAGACGTGTTTCGACAGAAAACAAAGCAAAAAGGTTACATCACAAAAACGTGGGTACAACTAAAAAAAAATCAGCAGCCTGTTATTTTGTGACAGTAACTCTAATATTTATGAGCCTATTTAACATTAGTTATTTCAGGATGGAAAAGGTCAAGGATAGGAGTAATACTGAGGATAGAGAATTTGATAACTTTAATCTCTTATTAAAAGATAAGTATGAATAAGCTTACTTTATATAGCCATCAAACCTGAAGAAATACACAAGTATGTATGTGTGTAATAGGTGGGTAAGATTTTGTCACTATGTTAAAAAGATTTATGTAACAACTTGAACTAAAGTGGTCTATAAGTATTTTTTACAAGACAAGGTGACAAACGAGCAAGATGATGATGTTGCTAAAATAGCGAAGTGACCACTTCCTGAAATTGCAATATGATGCCTCACTTGATGTGGCTGCTGTTATGTATCATGTTTCAAAGGAAGAATAGGAGAAAAGGGGCTTACTTAGTACGAACAGTACGGCGTTTGTCAAGTAGTGTTGGTGGTTGGGAGTGGTGCGGTGGTGGTGGTGGTGGTGGGGCGAGGTGGGGAGGCGTGCCTAGGGATGGTAGTAAGACTTACGCGGCGAGTAGGAGCGGTCGCGGTCGTAGCGACGCGAGCGGCGGTAGTGCGGGCTGGGCGAGCGGTGCCGGTAGCCGCGCTGGTAGTAGTCGCGCTCGCGGTACCCGCCCCCGCCGCCGCCGCCGCCCCCGCGGTAGTAGTACTCCCTGCAAACGTACAGTACGCGCATAAAACACACATTTCGATGAATACTACTCACAGCTCAATCTTTTAAGATTTGAAAAATTACTTTCATTACTCTTATATTTCCGGATCTTTTAAGTGTATAGGGTACTCACCCTACCTACCTAGGTGAACTAGTAAACTTGTATTTGAATTTAACTTTGTGATAAACTACACAATTATCTTTTTTTTTAACTTTTTGGTATAAGCAGGAAATTGATTTACTATTGCATATTTACCATATTAGCAAATATTATTGTTGAAATTAGATGACATAAATAAAAAAACCCTGAGTTGATCATGTAAATGTGTAGATGTGATTATTTAAAGAATTATAACAAAAAAGTACTCACTCTCGGTCCCTGCGTCTGTCATATCCGTTGTCACCTCTGCTGCTCACACTGCACAAAACATGCATATTTTATTGTATATACATAAACAGGTAACTATCGGGAACTTATATAATATATTCAAACAAGACTTCAAAGTTCTTATTGTTTATACAGCAATTAGCTTACAAAATGACTAACATAATTTACAGACCAGTTTTCAAAGTGTGCCAAAAGACAGATGTGCCAAACTGTTGATGTTATTCGGCTGAATTTATTGTTAATGATTTCGTTTTATTTTTAAAATAGTAGGTAATCAGAGTAATGTAAATGTGCAAGCAGGCCTTTAGTAAGCTAACTTATCTTAAAGTTGGTCCACTCTAAATCTGCTCAAAATACTCTGCCAACATATAGGAAACCTATGACTTCGGTAATATACACCATAGGCTTTTCTAAGTTGGAAATAGTTGTTTTTTTCTAGAGTAAGCTTTTATCTTACGAAATTAATAAAGATTCTTATTCACAATTTATTAACTGGTATGTCGAAATAGATGTAAAATACTGTGATGATAAAAAAAGAACAATTTATATATACTCACGTGGGCTTGCCCATGTATATGCCTGGTGTAGGAGTGTGTGCTCGCTGGGTGATAGAGAAATCCACTCTGATACGTCTGCCGTCAATTTCCATACCAGTACACTCATTCTTAGCCACCTTGGCATCGTCTTGAGACTCAAAGTAAACGAAACAGAAACCTCGCGAACGCCCAGTCTAATAAACATATTTGTTTTTTTTTTAATTATTACTATAACAGAAATTAATGTTCATATTGCAACATAAAAACAACATTTCTTACCTTTGCATCAATGACAACTTGTACTTTCTCAACAGGTCCAAATTTAGAGAAGATGTGATTTATTTGTTGCTCACTTGTATATAGACTGAGACCAAATACTCCAAGGCAACGGGATGGTGTTGGGTTCTCCTGTCCAACAATGAAGGTGCTTCCATATTTTATAATTGTTTAAACATATTATCCTTATAATTAATTATAACTAATTTAAAATAACATGAGTGATACTAATGAACTGATTAAAGTAATGTAAAAATTATTTATAAATATCATTAACCATTTTTTTTATTTTATCTAATATATCTATATTTTGAACTAAGTTTTGATTGCCATTATGCTATTATTTGCTCACTAAATATTATGAAAAAAGATAGTGAGGAAAACAGTGCTCTTTTACTTTAGGTCACTAATGGCACTATAAATTATCCTGTACTGAGCACTATCTAAACCTACCAATTCCTCACTATGACCAAGTAACAAACCAAACATGATGTCAGGTTGTACAAATTTAATGTAGCTGAATTTATGAAGAATTACTAAAATAATATTTCTATTATATAAAACAAATTATAAGGAATTAAATAAGAGTTTATTAATTGCAAGTGACTGATATAATGTTTGGTGTGAACATGGCCTTTAAGTATACACTGTTCCAAACAAAGACAAGTTTTACAATTAAAAAAAAATATCTTTCAAAAACAGCCAGTATTTAATATCTCGAAGAGATAAGAAATAATTTAAAATTTTTAAAATACAATTTGACAAATAAGTTTTATTATTTACAGAGTTTAGATCTTGATTCAGAACAGCATATATGAACTATATATAAAAAGTATAAAAACAAGTGTCCTCACCCTATCTCCAATGTCACCACTCACCCTGTCTCCAAGATGGCGGCGCCTGGAGGACATTGGGCTGTGAGAGTGCGAGCGGCGGTATGAGCCGCGGGGGGAATAGGAACGGGAGCGGCTGCGAGAGTACCGTGAACCACGGTACCCGCGCCTCGGCGATCCCGAACGGGACCGCGTCCTGCAATAACATATTACTTAAACACCTTTTCTACTAAACATAAGATTGAAGTGGCAGTAGCCTTATGGTACAGGTATGGATTTCCAATCAAGTGGTCGGGGGATTTGAATATTGTCGTACACCTTGTCCTAGCACAAGCCTAGAGCTTAGTTGGAATGGTACAATATAAATAAACGAAAATCTACTAATATTTTGATTAACAAAAAATTGACTACAAAACATACAATTGACATTAATGTTTGTACTGTTTACACTTGAATGGATTTTTATACAGCAGTTGGTATAACACTCTTTATCATCATAATAAATTTTTCAATCAGAATGATCTAATGTCTCTATGAACATTAGTACTTTACAGGACATTAGATATCTATATGTACCATTTGTTGTGTCATAGACTTATCATATCTTAAGTGACCTGCGCGCAATATGCACAAGTCACATAAACTACCTTGTTAAACTTCAAGCATCTTAGAAGTGCATGAAATTATAATTAATAATGGGCAAATTCAATCAAAAGCCACGAAATATAAGCTTGCATATTTGTTTGTGTAAATTAATATTGATTATATTCCTACTTATTAGTTTAGCTGACTTCATAGGAGGTTCTCAATTAATCAGATGTTTTAGTTTGTGTGTTTGGTCATATGCTTATTTTTACTATTATTTTAGTACCGAAAAAATAAGTAAAATTCAAAGCTTTCACTTTCAAAAGATCAAATTTAAAAATTTCTTAAATCTTGTATTTCATTTTATTTGCCAGGAAAAAATTAACAAATTGGATCTTAGAAATCAATATTTGAAAAATTAAAAAACATTAAAATCACTCAAAGTGAACATAAAACAAGCTCGTAAAAATTGCCTCTTATCAGACAAATTATGGTTTCTTGATAAAGCCATTTGTTGCCATAGAGTTATATTACAGTATTGAACAAACAGTTTTACTCCGATGTTTTATACTGATTTTTAGTATTAACAGTGTTTTACTTTTAGCAAATGTTTTTATTCTGCCTTTGGTGTTTGATTATTTCTTATATCACATATGTATTTATATGCTAAAATTGCAATATTTTTGTGTATATTTTGGCATTTTATTTTTTAATTATTTATAACAAAAATATAAATAATATTTGCAAATTTAAACATACAAATCTGAACAAATATCTAGTATGTTGTAGTTTATCAATGCCATCTAGAGTCGTTAAAGTTGACCTTGTAGATGGCCTCTATATTATGTACATAATGTATGATACATTTATTAGGAACTCAAGGCTAAATATCAAATTAATACTTATGTATTTTACGGACAACATACAAAACTACACCACTATAAATTATAAAGAATCGACATCATTCAAAATGTGATCATAACACCTATTATGTTGAATCTTCTTTATCTATCATAATAAACAAGCAAACTAGGCAAACTTCATAAAATCACAAACTTTATTTAAAAATTCTGGGGTGTATTTAACATGTAATAGTGTCTTGTGCTCTTTAACTCCTATACATAAAAAATGCAAGGCCATTTTTGGTACTAAACCTCGTGCCATTGCGCAACCATAGCACCGTGACCTAAGAGGTTATAATCAACAAATTCATCCAAATACCAATACCAACATTCAAGGGACTAGATTGAAAGCAATCTTAGCATTAATCGCTTAAGTTTTCATAGGATTGTACTTACGGGCTCCTATACTTTCTGCTAGATGATTTTGGCGGCGGCGGCGTCCTAGACCGGCTCCGGCTATGTCCCCTCGACATAGTTGGGGGCTTCGGAGCTGGCTCCCGGGAACCGTTGCGGGTCCTCGAGCGACTTCTCTGTAACACGAGCAACCCTAAACTTTAAATTCGGCTTCAGTAAAATAAGCACACGGGGCACTAATGATAAATGTCGATTGAGTTAAATATAGTACCTCTCGATCAGACATGTTGATCACAAGAATACAAGCAACAAGAATAAAACGGAAATATCACCACTGATCTAATTATAAGCTTTGTATCGCGAAAATAAAATTTGTGAACACGAACACAGAACAACGCGGTTAAGCAAAAAACAAAATGGCGTCAATCAGACGTTCGTCAACGAAACGGCCAGACGCTATGAAAGCGCGGCAAAATTTAATAAACAAGAAAAAGAAATCAAGAATAAATTGCTGAATGTTGCCCTTTTCCGCATAACCAAATCAGTACGTTTTTTTGAAGAGGTGCGCGCTAAAAAAATTAACTTAGCCATAAATGGCCCAGATTGCGCATATCTCTCCGTTTTACTGGTTAAATTACATTATAATTATTCTCCAGATATTTGATAAATAAAACAGAAACTTTCAATGTAAATACTTAAAAGGTTCCAACGAAATATTTTTGGATTTGTCGATAAAAATTTTACATTTGGAATACAATAAAATACCAAGTAAAATATAAAATCAGGTAACAGCTTAACAGGTTATTTTCTTAGTTAACTTTAAAAAATGGTTCATAAAAATAATCCAAAGGTACACATAATTAAGATTTTAACAAAAATAAATCTAACTTTTTCACGTATTCAAACGTTGCAATAACTGTCACCATGACATTTTAATGCCATTGTCACTTTTCCGTTTCCACCACATCGTTAGATGTTGAATTTTATTTAAATTAATTTACAATTTTTCTTAAATAAAACCATGGCTGATAGTGAAACGCAAAACGGTCCTGGTGATCAGCCGCAAGAGAAATCAGCAAAACAGTTAGAGAAAGAGGCCAAGAAAGCTGCAAAATTGGAAAAACTTAAAGCCAAGTTGGACAAGAAAAGTTCAGCGCCAGCTGTTCAGAAAGATAAGCCCGAGGTATGGTAATTAAATGCGAAATTATACTAGTATTAAAACCTATTCGATATTTCTGTTGTAAACCCTGTAGTGTGTGATAAAGGTTTTAAAATTATCAATAGGTTAGACTTCCTGGTGAAAGGATTCTTTCGCGATTTATAAGCGATTGCATCATTCATTTTCTATCAAATAAATTATTTTAATAAGAAATTAAATAATGAGCACTTGAATACTTATAATAAAAATATTTTGTTTTTTAGAAAAAAGCTAAAGAAACAAAAGAGAGTGCAGTTTATTCTGCTAATACAGCTCCGGGAGATAAAAAAGATATAAATGGACCAATGCCGGATGCTTACAGTCCTCAGTATGTTGAAGCTGCATGGTATGCATGGTGGGAGAAACAGGGATTCTTTAAGCCTGAATATGGGGTAAGCAAAATGATCAAGTGTAACTAAAATGAGAACATGGAATGGTATAATGAACTAGTTGTTTCAATATGTATGTATTCTGTTCTTTTACAGAGAAAATCTGTACTGGAGCCTAATCCCAAAGGCAAATTTGTGATGGTCATTCCACCTCCTAATGTAACTGGTACTCTTCATCTTGGACATGCATTAACTAATGCCGTTGAAGACGCTATCACCAGGTGGCATAGGTAAGTTATCAAGATGCAGTTTTAAACTTTGAACCCATAATTTTTATACTCAATTATGGGTTCAAAGTTTAAAACATCATTCATATTTTTTTTAGAATGAATGGAAGAACAACCCTATGGAATCCGGGCTGTGACCACGCTGGTATTGCAACACAAGTGGTGGTAGAGAAGAAAGTTTGGAGAGAAGAGAAGAAGACGAGACATGATCTAGGGAGAGATGAGTTTATTAAACGAGTTTGGGACTGGAAGAATGAGTAAGTGAAGAGCATAGTTTTTTTTGCAATGTTCAAAATTTATGATCTTGATGTTCCTACTGCTTGTTTGCCCCCTCTTTTTGAAAAAAAGACAAACACTCGCATGGTTAAAACTATGAAATTATTAGCTGTCTCCCGCGACTCCATCCGCGCGGGATTAAAAATAGATGTTGGCCGATTCTCAGACCTACTCAATATGCTCACAAAATTTCATGAAAATTGGTCAAGCCGTTTCGGAGGAGTATGGAAACGAAAATTGTGACACGAGAATTTTAATAAAAACATTTATTTAATAGTGTTATGTTAATCATAATTTATGTTTATAGAAAAGGTGATCGAATCTATTCCCAGCTTCGGTCTTTGGGTTCATCATTTGATTGGTCCCGAGTGAGATTTACGATGGATCCGTCGATGTGTCGTGCGGTGAATGAGGCGTTTATACGACTTCATGACGCGGGCGACATCTACCGAGCGAATAGATTGGTCAACTGGTCGTGTGCGCTGAAGAGTGCTATATCTGATATTGAAGTAGATAAAGTGGAACTTACAGGAAGAACTATGCTCAGTATACCGGGATATGATCAAAAAGTAATTACAAGTTTAAATAATAATTAACTTAACTAGTTTAATTTAAAGTAAATACGGTAACAATTTATAAAAAAGTAATGGTTGATCCCAGTTAAGCATAAGCAGATTTACCTTTCTTTTTTAAGCTTTTTATAGCATTAAATATAGCTTTTCTCACTCAGGGGTAATATAGAACTCTAATCCGTAAAGAATTTTTTTACTTTGGGCTATTAATTTATAAGTTTTATTATAAACAGAAAAAAAATTATATATCGTGTTTATATTTATTGCAAATTTATGATTTGTATTATTTGCTCTAGGTGGAGTTTGGAGTGCTAGTGTTGTTTGCATACAAAGCAGAGGATTCTGGTGAAGAGGTGGTAGTTGCTACGACTCGTGTGGAAACAATGTTGGGAGATGTTGCAGTAGCAGTTCATCCGGAAGATGCTAGGTTTGTAATACAATCAATATTATACTATGAGAAACTGTCGCTCTTGACTCCGTCTGCATTGAATAAAAAAAATCCAGACTATGTCCTACATTTATGTCAAATTACAGAGACATCCATGCAGTTGTTCCGGAGATGCCTTCTAACAAACATCCATACATTTGCATTTATAATAGTAGTAAAGTTATTGTAATGTTTACTTTCAACTTTGGCTAATATTGTTACGGGTTAAGTATTCTTTGGTATGAAAAATGTATACAAAGGGTCTTTTTATGTAACTATTTTATTCTTCAGGTACAAACATTTAATTGGCAAGAATTTGGTGCATCCGATAGTGAATAGGAAACTACCTGTGATTGCAGATGAATATGTGGATATGAACTTTGGAACTGGTGATTATAAAATACTTTATGTTTGTTCCAATCAACCCTCGGTTTCAGAGACCAAAATCTATATTTAAAACATATTGCTATCTCTGTTTTATTAAAAATGACGATATGTTTTATTTAGAGGTTTTGGTCTTAGAACCCCATGGTAAGTTACATTTATGAATGCTTTTTTTTACAAATAGGTGCTGTTAAAATAACTCCTGCACATGATCCTAATGATTACGAGATTGGTAAGCGACACGACTTGCCTTTCATCACTGTCTTTGATGATGAAGGAGTGATGCTGGATAACTGTGGACCATTTGCTGTAAGTACATATGCAACATATACTAAACTAGCTGTTGAATAAAAAGAAAACTTAATAATTAGCCTTCCAAATTACCTAATATCAGCACAATCCAATCAGCTGTTATGGAGATAACTACTAACAAATATTTGTCTGTCCATCCATCCAAACATTCGAATTTGAAATATTAGTAAGATTATTGTTACACTCGTAAATGGTGTGACTGGCTCTTGTTATATGTATACAGGATGTCCCAAAAGGTTACGTACGTAGGAAGGGGGATGATATGGGTGGTCACAAGGGTCACCAGAAAAAAAAAAAGTTCCCCTCTGGGTATTAAAAAAATAAATGGGATTTTTTAAAAACTTAAAAATTTTACACCTTCTGAGGCAATTTTGTAACCAATGACCTACAAATATTGCTACATTAAAAAAAAGCTATTATGTTATCGTCAATAACCCTTTATCAAAAAAAAAAAACAATACAACTAACAAAGATTTTAAAGAAAATTAAAATTGCCCCTAAAAGGTGTAAAATTTTTAAGTTTTTAAAAAATTCCATTTATTTTTTTTAATACCCAGAGGGGAATTTTTATTTTATTTTTCTGGTGACCCTTATGACCACCCCTATCACCCCCCTTCCTATGTACGTAACCTTTTGGGACATCCTGTATATAGCATAGACGAAACCTGATAAGCACGAGTCATTGTCCGGATCCCAAGCCCCATAAAAGAGAAAACTCTAGCATATCCAGGTTTGATGTATATGGAAATTATTCACTGACTATTTAAATATGTAATTCTGTGGTTTCTTTGTTATTTATAATTATTTGATGATATGTTAGGGCAAGCGTCGCTTCCACGTGCGGCGGGAGATCATCAAGACATTGGAAGGGTTGAAGTTGTACAAGGAGACGAAGGAGCACGCGATGGTGGTGCCGCTCTGCAGCAGATCCAAGGATGTTGTGGAGCCCATGCTGAAGCCACAATGGTAAGAGCATATGATTTAAAGAAACAATATTTCTTATTTAAAAATTTCACTTACCGTGGGTTTCCAAGACCAGAATTAATTAATATTTGAAATTGTATTAAAATGGCTACACTCACAGTGTTGCCCTGTACTGGTTTACGATGTTTCAAATAATTTTATTTAAAACTAGCGGTTGCCCACGACTTAGTCAACGTAGCCTACAATATGCGACTATTCTGGGTATAATCTGGAACAAACGCGGCTTTGAGGACAGACAAACAGATATAAAAATAGTATTTTCTTACCACAGAAACAAATACATATATTTTTTTCGATATTACATACAGACATTCCAATTTTGTTAATATGTATAAATTCACACTAATTTTTGCAGGTACATAAAATGTGACACAATGGCAGCGGACGCTATCAAGGCTGTGAAGGATGGCGAGCTGAAGATAATACCTGATGCGCACGAGAAGACCTGGTACCACTGGATGGAGAACATCCGCGACTGGTGCATCTCGCGACAGCTCTGGTGGGGACACCGCATTCCTGCCTACAGGGTCACATTGCCTCAGGTCAGTAATGTTGAGATAAATTCATTTATTTAAAACTACAAAGTCAAACGTAAATTCTATAATTTATATAACCAATCCAAAAAAACCATAGACTAAGTAACTTCGGATTGTTACGGAGAAATAAAATTGTTGAGTAATTAGTGAAGTTTGTAAATCATGCCAGTAAGACAGTAGTGCACAAAATCAGCGCTGGTATACTGGCACCATGTAAACACTCACTGGCGCTAGTGAGTCCATACTGTACTATTACTGGCATAATGTAAATGTGCATAATGAATTTTGCCAACACGGAGTTTCGCCTGACAAGAGATAATTTTTAAACATTCTTTACAGTATGATTATCGATTTTTAGTTGAAAAGGAATCGATTCTGATAATATCTGCAACAAAGGCTGTAAGATAAACGATTTTTGTTATAAATATCGATATGTACGTTGTTGAAACGTATCGTGATACGTAGAGGCAGGGCGAAGTGCGGGTGGGCGGGGCGGCGCGGCGCAGACGCACGCGCTCCGGACGCAAGAAGAGGGGCCGCGCGCGCCCACCTCCGCCCCACACTGCACTTGTACGTCTACAATAACCCATGCTAATATTGCATGTTTTTGTGTTCTGCTTTTTATATAGCACTTATTAATTTTTACACATAACTTGTTTTATTTATCTATAAGGTAGGTATGTCATTATTTTCAAAAATCATCATCAGCTCACTATAAGTCACCACTGAGGGACTCGGTCCCTACCTTAACTTACGGGCTACGGGTACGGAAGAATGCGCGAGCGTACTCGTAACCCGGCCATATGGCGAGGAGGAGGGTCTGAGGGGTTTTAGTGGGTAGGGGTAACTAGGATATAGTCAACCATGCTGACCCAGTGCGGGTTGACTTTACACATATCTTTAAATTTTCTTCACAGCTATGTACAGGTTGCATCACGATATTTTCCTTCACCATAAGAACATTGGATAAATGTACATATGTAAATCGAAAACACATCGGTACATCGAGATACGAACTCAGGACCTCCAGTTTACATTTCAAGTGCTTGACCCCTGCCTGACGCTCTTATTATTGTCGGCGATTTTCAAAATTCCATTGATTAATTTTTATTTGCGCTTGTATTGTTTGGTCTTTGTGTTTATTGTAGCAGTCATAGTAAATATTATAAAATTAATATGTAAAATATTAATTTTTCTAATAATACAGAAGCAAGAAGAACTATGGGTGTCAGCACATACAGAGGAAGAGGCGCTGGAAAAAGCCTCAGTCAAATTCCAAGTGGGTAAAGAACTGATCTCACTGAAAAGAGATGAAGATGTTCTTGATACCTGGTTCTCTTCCGGTCTCTTCCCCTTCTCCATATTCGGATGGCCAGACCAGACTGAAGATTTGCAGGTAATTTTATTATCATCTAATCATATGACCTTTATAAACGGACTGGCTATGGTATATCATGTAATATTTTGTTCCTATTTGATTTTCGCAATTTTGAAGCATTTGTAAGCAATCGCTTATTTATGTGTGAATGCGATAGATTTATGTTGATTGTGTTTCCAGGCATTTTATCCAGGTACACTGTTGGAGACGGGACATGATATCCTATTCTTCTGGGTGGCAAGAATGGTCTTCTTTGGTCAACGGCTGATGGGGAAATTACCATTCAAGTGAGTTTTTAAATATAAATAGTACTTTGAACATATGAATTTAAATAAATTTTTATGTTTATTTTTTTTTTAATTTTTTGCCTAGTTTAAACCATATCATTTGTGTTCTAGTTAATTTTGACTGATGCAACTTTGTAATAATATTTATTTGACATGATTTTAATAAATATGTAACCGAAATTTGGAAAAACATAAGCAATTGTGTAGTTCTGACTTCAAAAAATGTCCTGTTACAAGGTTAAGTTATTTGATTTTGATGTAGTGTCTACTGATAAATGGATTGGCTATAAGTTATAGTACTTTGTGCCTATTTGATATTCACCATTTTGGTAATAAAGCGAATTGTAGCGGTGGTGTGGATTCGAACTAATAATATCTGTCCCGCAACATCAATAGGCGCGTTTAAATCGGAACGTATCAAAGCTGTAATTTCCAAGCAGTCGCCTATCCATTTATGAAGGTGACAGATTAAAATGGCCCACTTATATACTTGCATATTTTAGAGAGATCTACCTCCACCCAATGGTGCGTGACGCTCACGGACGTAAAATGTCCAAGTCGCTGGGGAATGTAATAGACCCGGTGGATGTGGTGCGAGGTGTGACGCTGCAGCAGCTGCACGATCAGCTGCAGGACTCCAACCTGGACCCCAAGGAGATAGAGAAGGCCAAGCTCGGACAGAAGCAGGACTACCCTAATGGGATACCTGAATGCGGTACTGATGCCTTGAGGTGAGAGAACAGCACATTTGACAAAACTACTTATTTAAAGTTGGTTTCTGAAACCGAAATCTCTGTATAAAACATATCTACATCACTGTCATTAATTGACGAATTAGAGATAGCAATATGTCTGAAGCGGTGATTTCAGTCTTAGAAACCCACCGTTAAAAACTATTCACGTGTAGTTGCCGGTATCGGCAATGATTTTGGAAGTTTTTTCTTGTACATTGTTACTTAAAATCTCTCACACTCACAATATCTCTCTATTTTCCTTATTTTTTTTTACACCTTTTATTTCAACTTAACAATATAAAAAAACTACAAAGCAAGTAAATTGCCAGAAAGAGCAAATGTTATCAAATATCTGTTGTAGGTTCGCTCTATGCGCGATGACGCAAGGTCGTGACCTGAACCTGGACATCCTGCGCGTGCAGGGCTACCGCTTCTTCTGCAACAAACTCTGGAATGCCACCAAGTTCGCGCTCATGTACTTCCCCAATGAAACCAAGTATAACGTGAGTGCAAAGTTTCCTTATATCTGTGGTATATCATCAATTTTCCAACAAAATTATAAAAGTCTCGTGTTTATGATCATTTAAGTAACTTACGAAGTAAAGAGTAAGAAAGTATTAGGATTCAATATAGAATTTATTTACTTTTATTTATTAATTATATAGCAGGCTTTATGATGCGATGTCGGAGTAGTTCCTTATTGTTTCGATCTGAATTGTGAAGTTTTTATAATCAAAAAATAATTAAAAAGTAGAAATTAAATTAAAAATTTTGGATATAGCAACACTGAGTTAGCAGTGTTACCATTACCTTGATTATTTCGTACCAACAGAAATATTTTTTTTGTGTACAGGTACACTCGAGTAGTCTCCCCGCTCTATCAGCAATGGACCGCTGGATGTTGTCGCGGCTGGCGCTGGCCGTGCAGAAGGTGAACGCTGGCTTCCAGCAGTACGACTTCCCTGCAGCCACCACGCACTGTTACAACCTCTGGCTGTATGACCTATGTGACGTCTACTTGGTAACGATATAAAAATGATTTTTTTTTTGTAACATTTTGTTTATGGTAAGCTTGTAGGGTAATCAATGTAGATTTTTTGCCTATTTTTTGGCAATTTTTCTTAATTCTAGATGCAACACTGGCTTCAAAACACGAATATCAAAACAATATTTTTGCAACAGCCTGTAATGATACTTTCTGAAAATTCGTCAAATTGTAAAAAATCTTGACAGCTGTTAATTTTTTGTACAGGAATATCTGAAGCCTGTGTTCGCGACAGGGTCTGAAGATGAGAAGGCGGGAGCACGGCAGACTCTGTACACGACGTTGGAGTACGGATTGAAGCTGCTCAGCCCGTTCATGCCGTTTGTCACCGAGGAGTTGTACCAGCGGCTGCCCAGAGCTGATACATCCTGCCCTTCTATATGTGTAGCTAGTTATCCTATGGTGAGTAAAAGGCAGTTCTTTTGAATAACAAAGTGAATATTATGACGTCATAGCTGTCAGATCAAAAAAGGTAAGGTTAGTAAAATAGATGTTTTAAAGAATATTTTTGACAGTTGAAGGTCATTGACGCGCACATTTTATATTAAATATATGTTCATATGCATTGTTTCAGAACTTTTTTTTACATAAAAACTGTACTTTTTTGGCATATTAAAATCATTGACTTGTAGTTTTTGAGTCCTAAAAAAATAAAAGGTAATACAAATATTTACTTTCAATTATTCTAGGAGGCAGACACACCATGGCGATCGGAAGAATTAGAATCAGATGTGGATACAGTACTGAAGATGGTACATCTCATTCGGTCAACTCGGTCTGAGTACAACCTGACCAACAAACAGAAGACCACGGCCCACGTCATCATCTCACCAGAGCTGAATGTAGAACATCTAAAGGCGCTGATGAGGAGTCTACAGTCATTAGCTAACAGTGAACTGAGCGATGAACAGCCACCTACAGGATGTTCCATACTTACTGTCTCTGATAAAATTGAAGTGCATCTGGTGCTCAAGGTAACTATTTATACTTACAATAATAAGAAAGCAAAGTATTGCAATTTACTCGATTTAAATAAAAACCCATTCTCTTTAATAACATTTGTTTTTGAATTAAAATAAATAACTATCGGTGAAACACTCTGTATAAGTATGAAATTGATGTTACGGTAAATTTTTTACTTGGTAATTTTTATCTCCATACATAGTTATTTATTTCATCTAATTCTAATTAATACATTTCTTATTTAAATTAATTACTAATTTTAACGGTACATGTTATCAGGGTCTGATAGATCCTCAGAAAGAGATTGCAAAGCTTGAAAAGAAGAAGGAATCGTTGTCACAAACTATTAGCAAGCTCCAACAAGCTATGGCGGCAGATGACTACTCTGTTAAAGTACCCGCAGAAGTACAGAAGACGAACACTGAAAAACTCTCCCAGTCACAGGGAGAATTAGAAAAATTAGATAAAGCTATGGCAACACTCAAACTAATGTAATACAGATTATGTCATATAAGAATTTAAATGTCAGTTACTTATTTGTATAACTTGATTGTCTTGTGGATTAATTAATAAAGTAATAATGCATTTTGTAATAACTAAGTATTCTAATGTGTTCATTTCTCATGGAACATCACAATAATTTATTTGTTGCGTTGATTCATCCGAATATTTAATTTTGTTTTTTATCGTGGTATGGCGATTGTAATCTAAATAAGAATCTAATTATCTGTAAATATTGCAGTGAGCAGTTTAAATGAATATATCATGTCCAATATGATGTAAATTTGACAAGCCCTTCATTATTTATGTTTTTTAATAAAATGTTTTAGTCAATGTGTTGTTTTATTTATAACACCAGAGATCAGATTATAATTTATGGCTATATGGTTTGGACAAAAAGCCACGGTCGTCGTACTTGTGTTTAGGTAAAATATCTCGAAAGCACAAACATTCATATATCATCGTTGATCACAATTAGCAATAAAATAATCAACAGCCGGACTCAGCGTTTTTTTTTAAATATTTTTATTGTCTTGAAACAATTCACAATAATTTTTTTATAAAGTTTTATTTCGTTCTCCTTCTGAACGATAAGAAACTGTCCAATAATATGTCAATGTCAAAAATTTTTGGTTATGTTTTTAAAATTGAATGTCATGTTTTTGATTTTGGATTTTCTTGAAATTATACAAAGAAAAGTGAGTTATTGTTAGCTCTTGTTTACATATTAAATAATTTTCTTTATATCAACCTTAATTGTTGAACATTGCGGAAAACTTCGAAGCTTTAAAATGGAATTTCCCTCACTCGGAGAGCACTGCCAAAATGAAGAATGTAAACAAAAAGACTTTCTACCATTGCAATGTAAATGTGGTAAGGTGTACTGCCGAGAACACTTTGGTGAACATTGTACCTCAGGTCTTTGTGAAATGGCTCCAAAACCGAAAGATGTCAATTTAAAGAATGACGATGAAATATTTCGATGTTCAAGCAAAGGTTGTAAAAAGGGAAATTTACATGAGATGTTGTGCAGCAAATGCAATAAACATTATTGCATTGAACATAGGTTTCATCCGTAAGTTTCTTTAATTGAATGTTCATATTTTTAATGTTTTAAAGTATTTGCTAATTTATAAGATAGGGTTCGGATTTTTCGTTGTTTTCTTTAATTTTTTAAATTTTAGATCATGCCCTGAAATAGATGACGAGACAATGGCATTAAAAATAGAACAGTTTGAAGCACCGAGGAAGCAATTTCATGAAGCCAACAAACACTTGCAACAAAAGGTAATCTATTATATAAAAAAAACTTTAAAATTGATACACATTTACTATTATATACTATATATTTATTACAGATAACAGAAAACATAAGAAAAGCTTTACAATCATCGGCAAAAGTTAAAACCGCAACAAAAATCCATCTCATGAGAATAAAACAAAAGGCTTTAGGACCAAAATCAATACCACTTCCAGAAAGAGTATATTTTTCTATAAAAAAACCTATAAACATTGATGTAAAATCTGTTAAAATAATAACAGATGTAAATAATGTAGAGCTAATTGAAACTTTAACTTTGGATCCAGATTTAAAAGATACAATTCCGGTATTTATTAGTTCAAAATGGTCACTCGGTAGAGCACTCGATAGTATATGTGATAGTTGTAATATTAAAAATGATAATAATAAGTTTGGTGATATAAAACTCAGAGTTTTCAGACAGTTAGATGGTTACTGTATAAGTCCTTTGAAGATGGATGTGGAAATCAGTGATTTATTAAGAAATGAAATTTTAGTAGAAGGTGATAAATTAATCTTAGAGTATATTAGTAATACTGTATTGAATAATTTGGATGAAAATTCACATATATTCTTGTTAAGTTAAATAAATAGATAGCATTTAGTAATATGAAAATGATATATAAACACGGCTAAACACTCACGTATATACGTCCGGTGCCGGCACCGTCAGTGAGCTGAGGGCCGCGTCCGCGAAATAATACCAGTACCACTCATCCTGATGAAGGGCCCCGATGGGCTCGAAACTAGTCGGTGCCGCTACCGGACGAATATACGTCAGTGTTTAGCCGTGTTTATATATCAGTTTAGTATAATGTCTCACGATAGTTTGAATAATTTAGTAATATGGTTATTTTATTATTGGAATTCATGAAACAAGTGGTAAATGTTTGCTACATGGTCATAATAAAACAATTAATTGTAATAAATAATAGTATAATAATATCAATTTTTTTACTCTAGACTTAATCCTAGACATAAAATATAGACTTAACATAATTAAAGCACAACTTCTCCGTTCTCTTTGCTGACTTGCGACTGTGACCTGTTGTAATCTATTAGAGGCATGAGTGGCGCGGGGGCGGAGGGGTTGGTCTGCGCGGTGGGGGGCGGGGTGGCCGCCAACTTGTACTTCTCTATCAGCCAGTTACATTTGCCCGTGCGCGCTATCAATGTTATAAGATCCCGACGATACTGTTTCGTTAAGATAGCGTACAGGAATGGATTCGCACAAGCGTTCAGCGGGTAGAAAAACACTAATAAAACCTTTCCATGGCTAACATCGACGAGAGGAATCCCGGCTAAGGCTGTAACGCCAAAGAACGCGACCGGGGCCCAGCAGAGTAAATCTGTTCCTATAAGTAATGCCATTTTGTTCGCTATCCGACGCTCGGCCGCCGCCGCTGCGCCTCTTCCTCCATAACTTTCTCCTCCTCCTCCCAAAGACCTGTATATCTGCACGTAGCATACGACTATCGTCACCCACGCTATGGCATTTGTGAGGAACAAGGAGCCCTGGTACACCGCGTCTCCTACGTTGACGCTCTCCACCGGCTGGCAGATGGACGTCGAGGAGTAGTCGGACACGCCGGCTAGAGGCAAGCTCGCCATAAAGAGAGAGAACAGCCATCCCCCGAGCATTATCTTGGCCGCAGCGGACAACGAGATTCGCCTCTCCAGGTAAATAGCGTATGTGATCGCAAACCATCGTTCCAGGGTAACAATCGTTAAAGTAAACACAGAAAGTTGCCCGGAAAAAACGGAAAGAAAGCCGGCTATCTTGCATCCGACGCCGTACTGCCAGCTGTACGCATAATTAAAGAATTCTCCGTAGGATCTGAGGTCGACGATCGCGATCATGAGGAGGTAGACTCCGGTGCAGAGGTCGGAGAAAGCGAGGTGGCACATCAGGAACCTGGGCACGGTCAGCTCGGCATGGTTAGTGAGCAGTACCAACAACACGGCCACATTGCCGACCACGGCGGCCGCAATCACCAGCCACACGCTGGCTCGCAGCCACGACCAGCCCATTACGTCTTCGCAAGGGTTCAGGGCATCCGGTAGTGGCGTGCACTCAACCTTACGCCGGCTGGAAAATAACAGAGTTAGGAAGTTACACACTATTTAAAGAATTACGTTTAAAGAAAAATAAAAAAAACTGTTAGTGGAAAGACTGCTTTGAGAGACAGAATACCATATTAATGTAACATTATTTTCGAAGTTAAATCCACATTACCTCAAGCTGAAGTTACCGCAAGCCGCGAAATAAGCCACGCCGTGTGAGAGCGTGTCGTTTACGATTTCATGGAAGCCCTCCAGGTCGTCCTCGAAGCTGCCCGTGTCTGAGGAGTACTCCTCGCTAACCACATCGTACTCCTCGCTAGTGGTCGCATCGTCGATAGCAGTCCTACGATACATATTTATTTTCAATTGTTTTAGTATCAAAAGTTGTTTGATTTTTAATGTCTTGGTTTATACAACTTATGCTACGCCGTATAACAGTTGGCTACTAAGCTTTTGTTAGTCCAAAAACATATTTAAAAAGTAAAATGAGGATAAATAAAGTCCAGCTTGATGCCTTCACGCGTTTTTGAGAAAAAGTGTCTTGTGTGTGTCAAGTGACAGACAGATAGACGGACAACAAGTGATCCTATAAGGGTTCCGTATTTTTCCTATGAGTCACGGAACCCTAAAATTAAAGGCAGTAACTTACTCTTGCGCATTTTCGACACCAAATTTGTATACTTTGGAATTCGGTGATCGGCGTCGTCTTTTTGACGCAGACATTTGCTGACACCTCTGTAAATAGAAAATTCCTAATTAAAAGCTCGAAAAATACAATATTTCCTTAACGAAATGTCTATCACATATTCAGAGTACGTAATCGAGTGCGAAGTGTAGACACACTGTAGTTGTGTCATGATATATAAACACCCTGTATATTTCTCTTACAAAATCAACTCTTAACGACCATTTTACGATTTTAAATACGGTAAGAGTAATCTTTTCTTTACCTGCGCCATTATAGCTTTTTGTTTCTCATACAATGCGTGTCGCGCAGGATCATGTCGCTCGGGGAACGCGAACGCGCAGCAATGGAAGTGATGGGTAAGAAACGCCTTTTGTAGATGCTATTTAAAACATAATATAAGAGAAAAATAAATATAAATATAGTCGAATCTGGATAAGTGAGAAACCAAAGGACAATAATATTTCTTCGTATTTGACATCTTATTAACCCGAGTTTCTCGCTTGCAAAGGTCGTCTTGTCAGGACCAGATAATGACTCTCTTTTATAGAGGTTTCTTGCTTCAGATTCGACTGTAGTTTTGTTCAACGAATTTGGTACAAGTAAATAACAAAAATAATGAAGCTTGTATTTTAATCGTTATACAATTAAATTATTTTTAAATATTATGTACCTGAAAATCGTAAATAGATGGAATGTATTTAAGAGATGGAGTTTTTTCTATTCTTAATGTTTCTAACTTCTCTAGACCTTTAGTGGGAAGAGAAGTAATGGCTGTACTGCTGAGATCTCTGGAACAACAATAAAATTCTCTTTACACGGAAGAAACAGTAAAAGAAAACTGAACGTATACATTTCCCAAAATTCGTAATAACTTACAATTGACGCAATAAAAGGTTTCCAGCGAAGGCTAACTCGTTCAAACGTTTCAATTTCGAGTTGCCGCGGAAACTCCTGAAACAAATATACTAAAATTTATTTTCATAAATTCAAATTCATTATCATCAGCTCATTATACGTCCCCACCTAGGGGCTCGGAGCCTACACTAAGTTAAGGGTGATTAGGCCATAGTCAACCACGCTGGCCAAGTGCGGGTTGGTTGACTTCACACATATCTTTGTATTTCTTCTCAGATATGTGCAGGTTACATCACGATGTTTTCCTTCACCGTAAGAACGTCGGATAAATGTACATATGTAAATCGGAAATCGAAAAACACATTGGTACCTGGCGGGATTCGAACCCAGGACCTGCAGATTGCAAGTCAAGTGCTTGACCCCTGAGTCACCGACGCTCTCCAAATTACTCTGCTAATAATTAGCGGAATAGTTGAAAAAGTGTTACATTTGAAAATTGCTAAATAGTATTTTAATTCCTTTATAAGTAAGTTAAACTGATATAATTGTCCAAAGGCTCTTACGTAAATTTGAAACAATTACACGATATTAGCTAAAAATGTGAAAGTTAACACAAAATGGGTATCCTTTACTTACAATTTTGATATTTGAGCGTTCTTAAACGCGTGCGCAGGTACTTCTTCTATTAAGTTGTAATTCAATGAACTGAAATATTGAACAGAATTAAAAATAGTCACTGACACCGCTTCTATAATATAAAACCGTAATAATTACATTTTAATGGCCATACCAAGCTTAAAAGGAGTTAATAAAATTTGAAAAAAAAAAACTATAAAAAGGGCTTTGACATACAAACGAACGGACAAGAAAGTGATTCTATAAGGGTTTCATATTTTTTCCTTTCGAGGTACGGAACCCTAAAAATGCGATTTAAATGATAATTTAAGACAAAGCAAATAAATGAAACAATAAAATAGCTTAAGAGTGTATACCTATTGACTTACACTTGGTCAGCGCGGACTCGCAGCGCGAGCGGGGGAATGCGCTTGATGTGGTTACCCTCTAAATCTCTGAAATAGACAGAAGGACTCTAATATTCTTTTTTTTTAAAAAGAAAAAAAGATTATTTATTTATTCTTAATATAAACAATTGAAAACTTATTAAAATTTTGTTCGTGCTTTGCTGTTCTTGATAGTATTGTTACTGTTTGAAGACCAAATACTCGTTATTTGAACTTATGTTAAATGTCATAAGAAAGGCGCGTAAACATTCCTAAAACCACTGGCAGTATTTCTGCGGTGATAAAGATATAAAAAGATATAGGTGTTTACTTACATGGCTTGTAAGTAAGGTAATGAGGTGTTCACTTTGTTGGTGTCGTGCACATGACTCAGATTGGGCACCTCCAGCAGTCCTGATGTTGTGATTATGCTATACAATATTTATTTTTATTAAAATTAAAAAAAAATAATGTAGAAATATATCCGTCTCTCTCTATTCTTAATACTATTATTCCTTATAATGGTATTAACCATTTTCATTCAATCATTTCATTCAAAATTCGTTCACCGCAACATACTAAAGTTAATGCTTTTATGATCGTGTCACATACTTTATAGATAGTAAGCTAGCTGTCGCCCGCGACTCCGTCCGCGTAAATATTAAAAAAACTTAATATATATTATAAAAATAAAAGCTCTTCGAGGCATACATTCGAAAAAAAGAATAAATAGTATCCTATGTCCGTCTCCTGGCTCTAAGCTAACTCCTCATCGATTTTCAGCCATATCGGTAAAGCCATACTTGAGTTATAAATAGTGTAACTAACACGACTTTCTTTTATATAGTGAGGTGAAAGAAGTCCTGAAAATCCTAACGTGTGTGTCCTGCATTAGTAAATAATGGTAGTAAACATATATCAGTATACATACGTACAAAGTGCGCAGCTCTGGCAGTGAGGGCAACTTCGGTACGTGGTGCAGCCGCGGCGCCTGCGTGATGAAGCTGCAACGTAAACACTTGCTATATCTCACAGATATTCGA